AACCCTAAAGGTCCTTGCCACATATACTTCTATGCTTTGAAACAGCCACGTGGCCACCATGGGCTTGGATTCAGTTCAATCATTCTTGAAGTTCTACTCACGCGGAGCTGCACGCTTCTATCAGAACATGCGCAGCGCGCGCCAAGACTTTTGAATTCCAGTGATGGTGATACACAGAGTTACAGCAAATGTGATCGGGTGAGAACGAAAGTGGCGAGGTCACTTGCGGCCCTGTGAATTGGAGCTTTGAAACTTCCTCCACCCGCCATTCCAGTAGTACCACTCGCCCTTCCAGTAGGACCAGTCCGTGTTGGGGTTCGGGCTGCAGGTCTTGCTCTGTCTCGCCTTGCTGGGGATGGGCCGGCCCAGTTCTCGGGCCAGCTCTTCGAGGCATGGCTGCATCCGGATGTCCATCGAATCGCTGGGCGCGTCCAAACAGGACATGAGCAGTTCCCGACTGAAGGTGATGCCGGCGTTGGTGTAGACCTTCTTGATCTCTGCAACGTCGGCACCGTCTCGTTGAATTTCTACAACCACATGTGGAGGAGTCGCGCCTGTCGTTGCAGCTGGAGTCGCACGGTTTCGCGGCAGCCCTTCTCTTCAGATCCGTCAGCTGCTGCTGGAGCACCGACAACTTCTTGTCTTGGACTGCCGTCGCGTGCTGCATTTCGAGGAGTCTTTCATGTTGCTCCTTCTGCCTCTCCACCATTGAGGCGAAGGCCTCCTTGAGGCCGTCGAAGGCGTTCCGGATCCCGGAGGTGTTCTCCCCATCCATGGCGCCAATCTCACCCTGAGCTGAATTTCTGCTCTGCTGGACCTTGTGTCGCGCTTGGGCAGAAAGACAGGCTCATGCCGGAAGAAATCATGAATCTCACAGGCTTCAACCCCGGGATGCCAATGTTCTCGCAGATATACAGCTGAGAGACTCTTGTCAGAACATGTGCAGCGCGCACCAAGACTTTTTGAATTCCAGTGACAGTGATACACAGAGTTACAGCAAATTTGATCGGGTGAGAACGAAAGTGGCCTTGTCACTTGCGGCCCTGTGAATTGGAGCTTTGAAACTTCCTCCACTCGCCATTCCAGTAGTACCACTCGCCCTTCCAGTAGGACCAGTCCGTGTTGGGGGTCGGGCTGCAGGTCGCTCTGTCTCGCATTGCTGGGGATGGGCCGGCCCAGTTCTCGGGCCAGCTCTTCGAGGCATGGCTGCATCCGGATGTCCATCGAATCGCTGGGCGCGTCCAAACAGGACATGAGCAGTTCCCGACTGAAGGTGATGCCGGCGTTGGTGTAGACCTTCTTGATCTCTGCAACGTCGGCACCGTCTCGTTGAATTTCTAAAAGTTGGCAACGACAGGTGCGACTCCTCCACATGTGGTTTTAAACTAAAACCACATGTGGAGGAGTCGCGCCTGTCGTTGCAGCTGGAGTCGCACGGTTTCGAGCGGCAGCCCTTCTCTTCAGATCCGTCAGCTGCTGCTGGAGCACCGACAGCTTCTTGTCTTGGACTGCCGTCGCGTGCTGCATTTCGAGGAGTCTTTCATGTTGCTCCTTCGCCTTCTGCTGCCCTCAAGGAGGCCTTCGCCTCAATTGTGCTTCTCCACCATTGAGGCGAAGGCCTCCTTGAGGCCGTCAAAGGCGTTCCGGATCACGGCGGTGTTCCCCCCATCCATGGCGCCAATCTCACCCTGAGCTGAATCTCTGCTCTACTGGACCTCGTGTCGCGCTTGGGCAGAAAGACAGGTCCGGGATGCCGATGTTCGCGCAGATGTACAGCTGAGAGACTCTAAGCCCCAGATCCTACGTCCTGCAATGAGGGTGTGTCGACCTGTTTGGTGGTCAATTCGTGCTCCCGAAGCTATAGGCAGCTACAGACACTCCGCAGAATCTCTCGGCTGAATTTCAGGGGCCCACATCCATGAAGATGAACATCACCAGAGCCCTTGGGCCCCCGAGGCTCGGGCCGACTCCTCTTCCGTGGGTTCTGGTACGCTGACCTTACGGTTCAAGTTAGGCCGAGGCCTTTGCACATGAATCCTCACTTGGACGTCGGGTCGTAGGCACAGGGATTCATATGCGGTGGGAATGTCCCTCCAAAGGTCGGTCATCCAGAAACTTGAAGCTTCGCGGGGGCTGCCTAGCAGAAAGGCCCCTTGCTGCATTGCTGCACCATGGGAGTGGCAGGCACCCTGGGATGCGTGCGCGCTTCCTATAGGTCCCTGCAGCATGCTCTGAGTGCTTCACGGGCTGGAAACGCCTCTCCAATGCCGGATCTCGCTCGATGTACTTGCGATACCTCAAGAGAAAATCGAAGGAAGGTAACCGAAAAAGGTCAGGAGACCCACCTGAGTGCCCCCTGTTTTGTAGACTTTGCTTTTATTTTGTTTTGGGGAGCTCGCTAATAGAGCAAGTTGGAGATCCCCGTCTTGAATCAAGTGCCGGGCTCGTCCAACGTTGTGGCTCCGATGCATTGCAGCCTCAGAAGTCAGGAGTCCGGAGACTCTGGGATTAGGAGCAGCAGCACATTAACCTGAACTCTGCTACACAGTCGTGCTACCGTACTGCAGAGTATATTCGTTAGCATACCCTCCTCCCTCTCTCTCTGTCCTACTACCAGGCATGAAAGAAGGCAAGAAGCGGATATTGTTTCGCCGATCGTGAAACTTTCGTGGCGCGAACTCTTATTCGGAGTGAGTGGATCAAAAAATCAGCACCAACGGCAGCACATGGGACAAAATCGACCCACAACAGCCCCAGTTCAAACCTCTACCACACGTTACAGTTAAAGGGATCGCGTAACCGACGTTCAGGCTTTCAACCCGCCCTTCTTGCACCACCTCTCTCTTCTTCTCCGGCTTGCAAAGACGACTCTGGGACCCATGAGGCTCTGGGTCTGTCTCTGGGGTGACCCCCTTTTCTGAGAAGAGTTGCGTGAGAGTCGACTGCAAAATGACAATGGGATATGCCCGGACACGGCATAGAAACAGCTCTCTGTCTCTCTCTCTGTCTCTCCCTCCCTCCCCGCCAGTTTGACAAAAAGGGGCTCGGGTAGACGATGGAGCAAAAGACTGGCTATCGAAACCCGCCCCCTCTCTGTCTCACATATACATGTTTGGCGCACCCCTCTATGCTCCATCCTGGCTTCATCCCAGCTTCCTGCACGACTTGGCTTCGCGCTCGCCGCGGGCCAAAGCGGGCTTCAAGAGATTGGCCTCGGGACAAGAAGAGACTGCGAGGAAGCCTCAAGGGTGCTACTGTGCTACTGTAGAAGGGTCGGGGTTGAGACTTGGCTGCCGGCCGCGTCCATTCCACCTCCGGTGTCGCCACCACCGCTGCCTGCACCCACGAGGGTGTGAACCTGAGCTTTAAAGTTTTTGCGCCGGTTACCGACTCAAAGGCTTCCCTCGATGCTCTCCACAAAAGGCCTCGTCAACCACGAGAATGACACGGCGCTTGCTGTCCGTGACTTCCTTCACCACGGCACGCAACCGCTCCTGACGCCACGGCCACGCAAACATCCGATCGACTTTCCCAAGATGCCCTGGGCCGTGCGGCCTTGCCTCGAAGTCACCTCGATAGCGCGTGCCGGCCAACAGCAGCGCCAAATCGAGCTGGACAACCTCGGAAAAGGGAGCACTACTGTAAACATCCCTGAAACTGTCGCTTGTGGGCCACGTGGCCACACTACTCGGAGGCTAAGCTGCGAACACGCTTGTCCTGGACACATGGCTTGAACTGCTAAAAGGCATAATATTATAGTGCCAATCTACAAGATCGCCATGATGAATGGCCGGCGTCGCGCTGATGCCGACTACGCGGAAGGAAGAACTCTCCTCTCTACTTCCTCTTAGAAGTGTTGTCCGCATGATGTCTGTGCAACTTGGTTTCGTGTATTAGCCTAAGACTTTTGAGCGTTACCAAAAGCCGCCTCCCGGAGGCTCCACAAGAACCAAAACGGTCAGGGCCGTGCACGGATCAACAACACTCAGAAGGGGATCCACCCACCAGCCGTATTATTCCGGCAGCTATCTACGAGAAATAGTCGTCTGCAAGCCTCTAGTCTAAGCCCGACGGCAATACGAGAAAACTTGGCAAGGAATGAAGACTGTCTATCCGGAGGTGGCTCGCCCGATGTCGTAATCCCTCAAAGCAATCCCCAAACCCTATCAAACCCGGAAGCCAAGTCAACAACGACCCCGAAACCCTCTGAAGCCCCGAAACCCATAGAACCACACATCCTCAGTGCCCCCACTAAAGTCTCCTAAAAACAAAAACGCCCACCCACCCACCCACCTACCCCCGGCCCCCGCAGTAGAAGCTAAAGCACCCTTCCCCCCGCCCTGCCCGCTCCCGTAAGTCCTTGAGGTTCAAAGGGACCTTCCCCTCGGCAATGAGCTGAGCCAGCCCAAGAGCGATGGACGTCTTCCCAACGCCAGCCTGCGTGTGTGCCCATACTGCAAGCACCTACAAACCACCGAGAGCTGGAGGATTTTGTCAGAACGCGGGCGGGCGGTGCTCACCAAGACATCCGGTTCCATCAGAGACATGTTGCTTGGTTGCAACCAGGGAGCGAAGGAGGGAGGGGAGGAGCGGCTGGAAGAGGAGGAGGGGAGACAGTGAGAAATAGGGGGAGATCCGGGCCTCACCCACCAGCACGGGATTGTTTTTGGTGCGGCGACCAAGGATGCGGATTGTTCGACGCAGCTCCTCGTGACGACCTCGGCAACTCATGTCAAAGGCTGGCACGAACACATAACAGATGTCTTGGATATAGCTTCCTCAAGGTTTACAGTGCGGCTGGAATGTTTGCTGATCCAGGAGCATACATCCTCTCTGTGAGGGGTCAACATACAACTTGTTCGAAAGATGTCCCTGGAGCAGGCTTGAGTACGACTTGGCAGACATCGTCTTGCAGACTGTGAGGGTTAGCTCTAGATGTAGCGCAAGCAACTCGCCCCGCTGCACCAGTGGATGCAACCATTTACAATCACACTTTCCGCATGCGACTTAATGACATCAGTGTTGTCACAGCTTCGTCTCCTCCATACCGTGCATTTTCAGACGATACGCCCTGCGGTGTCCCCCATCTCTGGGCCCTGACCAACCAGCGGGTCGAGACGCCCCTCGCGTGCTGCCTCTGTCAGGTCCGTGCCGAACTTGAGCCTCGGAGCGCACGGAGCGCACCGAGGCTCTGAGCCTGTCTTCTTCACTTGGAGGTTCATTGGTAGTTATAAGTGGGGTTATAAGTCCCCTAATATGGGTTATAGCTATAGTGGCCCTATAACCCCACTTATACCTACCCAACCTCCGAGCAGGGCCCCCCTCAAAGGCCGCTGCGTCTGAGTCAAGTCCACCTCATCCTCGATGGCCGGACGCACAGCACCTGCCAAGACCTGCAGAGAGAGCTCAGCCTTGAGACTTCTGAGCTTTAGCCGGGCCGCTAGCCCTAGCCGCGCCTTGTCTCCGGTGACCTCGGTGCTCTCCTGCTGCGCAAGGGCTGCCAGCACCCTCTCGCGGAGCACCTCCAAGAGAACGCTGGCAGCTGCCATGGGTTTCTGCAGTGCCTCACTCGACTCGCGCCTGCGGGCTGTCCGTGGCCAGCACCTTCGCGAGCCTTGGGAGAAAAACAGAGCACAACAGAACCTTCAAAGCTCCCAAACGTCCCGGGCCCGTCGCCCCACCAAACACCTTTTGAGCCGCGGACAGCTTGCAGCCATTGCTCTCAACCTGAATTCACACAGCACACAGAGAGTTCGCCCCCCGGGTGGTAACAAGGGGCCCCCCCTGGCCGGGCCTGTCGTAGAAGCGCCCGCAGCAGATGGCAGGTGTTCACTTGCTGCATGTCTGGGCAAGTAGAAGGGGCAAAACGGGCCGGGCACAGCTCCGAATCGGGGCAGCTTTCCGACAGACGGCGCGCCTCGCTCGCGGGCGCACTCCACGGAGTCCTGACAGAGAACGCTACACTCTACAGACATCCGTATACTCTAAGCCATAAACCCTAAACCCTAAGCCCCGGGATCGGAGAAAAGTATCGTCGAATCTCCTCCAGCACCTGTCGGGCCGAGGTGGTGAAGGGAATCTCCTTGGACTTGCCGCCTCACAGTGCCCAAAACGAGGGTTTAGCGTTTAGGGGTTTAGGGGTTTAGGGTTTGGGGGTTTAGGGGTTTAGGGTTATAAGGTTATAGGGGTTTCGGGGTTTATAGGGTTGAGGGACAGGAAGCCCTGGGGCATAGTGAAACCTCTCGCGCCTTGGCCAAAGCCCACCATGCGCTCGAGCTCCCTCCGCGCCTTTTTTAGGACAAGGGGATAAGTGGGAGGTCCGGGCTCTGGGCTCTCTGGGTCGGGTCTCTTTCTTGTCGTATTGAGTCTCGAGGCTCCTGTTAGGCTCTTTTTTAAATAAGGGTGCCGTACTTTTTGGGGGACCAAAAAAGGGGACCCGAATTTGGAGAACTAGCCAGATGTGTGGGACTCTCTTTTTGGCAAACCCCGGCACCTCCTCGAGGCGGACGCCCAGAGCCTGCAGGGCCTTGGCGCCCCCACTGCCCTCGGCCAGCAAGCCCACCACCATCATCTCGGTCCCCACGTGGTCCTTCCGAACTCTGCCCCAGAACTAGTTTGTAACTCTTTGCTTAAATTATCAAGCCAACTCCTCGCTACAAACACCGAACATAGTCTCCTGCTTGATGCGCTGCGCCTCGGTCTGCGCCAACACCACGGCCTGCAAACGAGCATAGTCAAGGACTATGACTTCACTGCCAGCTCTGCGTCGAGTCCGGCAAGTCAGGGCCCACGTCTGCACCATCGATTGGATCGATCAGCTCTCGCCGCGCCTTGATAGTCCTCTCGGAGAAGCGCTCGAACCTGCAGGCTTGAGTCTTGAGTTTGGGCATGTCGAAGCTGAGGGGAGTTATAGGAGCACCAAGCTGCCGGCACCATGGCCGCACGTGCGGTCGAGTGTCGAAGTGGCCTCACCTCGTTGAACCTCCAAAGACAAAAACCGGCGAGTGCTGTGCTCTCCTGCTCTCCTGGGCTCGGCCGCCTCTCGTCCCAAAAGGCCCTGCCTGGAGGAGGTCGGCGAGGAGGCCACGTGCACAGCCACCTTTCTCAAACCCCCAAAAATCCCAGCCCCCCTGAGACGAAGTCCCCTAAACCCTAAACTCACTAAACCCTAAGCCCTAAACCCCACAGTCAGAGCGCCCAATCAGCCCTATAAGCTCGCCTGAGCACCCGTGAGCTTCGAGGAGGACCTGGCCAGTCACGAGACGACGACCCGTCTACGTTCGGGTGTGTGCACGCGAGCACCGTATAGGCGTGCTCAGTATACCACTCGCCCTCAGGCAGCAGTGGCATTCTCACGGCATAGTAATCGCATAGATGTTCATGTTACACCTTTTTCCCGACTGATGCTATCGTTGTGACCGCTGCTCTCACGTAAGGGCTGGGCATCGCCGACGTGGCGTTCGAGTGCCTCGCGGCCCACCTCTGGCCTCTCCACAGGGTCGCAGCAGTGGCCCTTCCCAGTCCCCTATCGGCTGCGAGGTCCAGACTCATCACCACCGAAAGAGAAGAGAACCTCGTGGTCCACTGAATAGAATTTTTCAAAGGGGGCTCTGCCGGCCTTCATATCTGTAGTAACCCTAAACCCTAACAGCGTCTCCTTGACAAAATCTGTTTGGGCCCCTGCAAGAAAGCCGCCACGGCCATGGCTGGGACCACGGAGGGCTCTGAGACCATCCCCTCCATGCCCTGACAACGATCAAGATGTGCACAATCGCACACACGCACACACAAAAAAATATATATACCATATATGTAATATACATATATTAATATGTGCGTGTAGACATGTATATATATATATACATAGATATATCTGTGTGTAAATATGCAGATATGTATGTATATATACATATATGTATGTACTGCAGCCTATTTGGGTTTTAGTCGCTTCTGCTCTGCGACTCCGAGCTTGCAGTCGATATGGCATTGTGAAATCATTGTAGAGGTTTCCGGGCCTTCGGTTTCTTGTTGTCACCTCTTTTCCTTTCCGCATTTGGTTTTACGGTTTCGGGTTTGCTCCATGGTTGCACTAGCCTAGCGTTCTATTCTATCCTATCATCGTGCAACATTCAGTCTGCTAATCAAACTTGGCAGACGTTGTATCTTGAGTGTCGGAGCGCACCTCCAGGGGGCCCATAGTGCCGGCATGGAACCTGGGCAAAGGTCGAAAGAGTTCCGAGCCACTGTACTGTGCGACATCGACCCTTCGCCTACAGAAAAGCAGTGAGGCCGAAGCACTGTGCGAGGAACGCCTGCACTTCCCAGTCATCTACGACATATCACGAACAAACGCTAAGTCGAGACACCGCGCCTGCGAAGTTACTCCTGGCCACATGGGTGAAATGAAAACACTACGAATGGCGTGCCCCACTCCAGAGTCTGTCCTGGCAGCTGAACACCCCAGCCGTGGCAATGTCAAGAATGCCGCAGCAAAGCTTGACGTGGCTGCGACCTGCGCAGTGCCAAGGCAAAGGCTTGGGCTTCCATGCATTCACACCAGGTGCCCGGCCATGCAGAGAATCTTGTGACGGGACATCATATTGAATGTCTGACTGGTGAAATTAAAGAATCTGCATGCAATGCTGCTTTCATGTCCTCAGCAGGCTGGCATCTCGAGATCGTGCATGTTACATACTGGATGTGTCAAGACCTCGAGCCTGAAAGCGCTGGCAGAACTTCATCACATGATACAACCATTTTCACATGGCAGAAGCTGAGACGTCGTTGATGGACCTTCCAGGTTGCATGGGATGTTACAGACGGGACAGTCATGGGGTTTTACCTATACAAGAGCTTGAATCTCCTGGCAACCTGTGCGTCGCTGCTCTTGCGCCCCCGCCAGCCAATGAAAGGTGCTTGAAGAATCGCGTCTACATAGGTTCTACTGCCCAATGGCCAGACAAACACTGAAGGAAAAAGTGTCCAAGTCTATGCTTTCCCATTCCGCCCGCCCGAAAAAATCGGAGCTTGTTTGTGCAGATTTGAAGATTATGCGCACCTACAGCCTCAGCGAGCGAAGATGCCAGAGGCAGAGGCAGAGCTCGAATCCACAACCACGTGTTTTCTGACATTTCCACCCAGACGGCTTGTCCTACCAGATCACAGAAAGCAACTCTGACCCGGCAGTTGCATGGCGCAGGGGCATTTACGACAAGCCTCATTCTTGGCAGCATCCGGGGCCACAGCCGGGTCAAAAAAACGAAATCACGCGGCGTTGGGGTGATCAAGAAGCATTGCTGCCGAGGAGATTCCCGCACCACATCGGTCTTTGCAGCAGCGATTTCGGCAAAAGCCAAGCAAAGCAAAAACAAGCAGCCAAAAAGAGACGGCGGCTTCTTGTCCACCGAGCTCTGGCTCCGGCAGCAGCTCCTCCGACTCAGACTCAGAGGGTGCGAATAGATTCCGCGCATTCCAGAAAAATCACCGGTGTCTTCGTTTCGAGCAGATATGTCGTCATAAACATGTCGTAAAAACCTTAAACCTAACTACGGACTGGGGGGGCCGCCGAGAATCCCTACCCGCAAGGGCTTAAATCGGATTTTGGATTGAAAACCGAAAGCCACCATTACAACTACTAGTACTACTACTAATACTACTACTATAGTACTACTATTACTGCAAGTACTACAAGTACTACTACTAGTACTACTAGTACTACTAATACTACTAGTACTACTAATACTACTAATACTACTAGTACTACTGATACTACTAGTACTACTAGTGCTACTACTAGTACTGCTACTACTACTGCCATGTGAAACGATGGCCCGATATGATGTGGTACATATTGCGTAGTTTGTGACTTTTTGGGCGGACCACACCCGACTCACGCACCCATAATTGATCTTCAAAGCCCTTTCATTGGCCTCCCACATCCAAGATCGTCCTAGCAGTCTTCGAAGCCTCCCACAAACTGCGTACCTAGTGTTTACCTTCGAACTAATTTCGAGTTGAAGCCGAATTCAATTCATCCATATCCCTCAACGACGCCCTAACAACTCCCCGTCGTCTACTAGAGGCCCCCGTCCCCACTCGCCCGCCCGCCCTCCACAATGCCTCTCGCAAACATGAAGATCTGAATGCCACGCCCAATGATGCGCGAGGGAACTGTCCTGCGAAGACCCGCGCGATGAAAGGCCCATATTCCTGGGCAATGCTTCGTGTAATGACAGCGCAAGGCCAATTCAACATTGCTCCTGCCTAGCTATTCTTAGCTCAAACTTGCAATCAAGATGCGGAGTCTCCAGGCGGACACAGCACGCGAAGCCCGTCGCTGCCCCAGGCGAACTCTCGACTGCACCATTCCAGCGAGGTGTGGAACGCCCCGAACAAGCTTGGCAGCGGCTCACCACGTGGCCAGTGATGCCGAACCTGCTCAATGGAAGTCCACCACACGATCGGGGCGCTCGTGCAAATCGCTCGTCCAGGGACCTAAACAAACGGATGCCCATGCACTCGCCCGCCCGCCCTCCACAATGCCTCTCGCAAACATGAAGATCTGAATGCCACTGCTGCATCCAATGATGCGCGAGGGAACTGTCCTGCGAAGACCCGCGCGATGAAAGGTCATAGTACTGGGCAATGCTTCGTGTAATGACAGCGCAAGGCCAATTCAACATTGCTCCTGCCTAGCAATTCTTTGCTCAAACTTGCAATCAAGATGCGGAGTCTCCAGGCGGACACAGCACGCGAAGCCCGTCGCTGCCCAAGGCGAACTCTCGACTGCACCATTCCAACGAGGTGTGGAGCGCCTCGAACAAGCTTGGCAGCGGCTCACCACGTGGCCAGCGATGCCGAACCTGCTCAATGGAAGTCCACCACACGATCGGGGCGCTCGTGCAAATCGCTCGTCCAGGGACCTAAACAAATGGATGACAGCAACGGCTCGCCCTGCAACCCCCAGCTGGAACCAAAGCAAGCTTAGGTAGGTGCCCAAGCAGTGCTGTCAGGGTCCAAGTGACGGTATCAGATTGCAAGTCTGCATGCACCTTTCGGTATTAACAAATTTCGACATGTGGCAAGCCGTTGTGCACGGACTTGCCGGCCTGAGCGCAACGCAGCGGCGTGACAAGGAGTTGGAATTCCCACAGTGTTGCCACTCTTCCGGCCAGAACTCCTCGTCCAGCACAAGACGGACCTACAGTGCGTCATGGATCCTCGATTTTGACCCGTCGTAGTGGCGCCTGCTGCAATGGAAACGTATCCATCGCGCGTCCAATGTGGTGCCTCAAATCTGTCTGGGGTGCGACGCAGCCGCGCAGCAGTGCTTTCCTCTCCCGCTACAGATGGCAGCCTGCGCAATACCGAAAAATCTCGGTACGCATGCATGCTAAGAGTGATGGTAAACAACATGCATTACAACAACATTCATTACTTTCTGGTTTCGCAGGTGTCCAAAAATCATCTGTGATGTCAACGCTGCTGATGCTCAGCGCCGCGCTCCGTGATCAAGAGCTCCAAATGCGATGATGTCCAGTAGCCCCTTGATATTGAGCATGGATCGAAAAACAGGAGACACTGAGAGGACATGCGACCGGATATGTTGGTAAATCGGAATGATCGCTGTCTGCAGATATCGTTACATCACCTTCTGCCCTTGGTTACCATGTGGAGAAGCTAATTAACAGTCGCGGTGGCAGGTTGACAAGAGCCCACCGTTGTGTAACGATGCAGACATGGGGCCACACTCGAGGTGCCTGCGCACACATAAAGCTCGCACAAGCATAGCATTTTACGAGCATGCGCATTTGATGCTTCCCCCCCGGCAAAGATCCACCATTGCTTTTACCTTGTGGGTGCATGGACGCTGCATGCGCCTGGGCAAACTAATCTGCAAGACGAGATTCGATAGCATGCACCCCTGCACAAAGCCACCGAAGCCACCCTGACTCGGCAAATGCTCCGTTTTCCGTGCGGCTTCGGTAGCATCCCCATCACCTCTGGCTAAAAGCGGCCACTGCACTAGCAGTAGCAAGGTGTGGATGGAAATGAATGTCTTTCTCATTATTTGCTTCGTCTAACGGTTCTGCGATGACTGTTCCTGTGTTGTGTGAGCCAAAATAGTCGGATCCTGAGAGAAAGCATTCTCCAGGCTCAGCATCCAGTAAATGAGCCATATCCGCCATAGCTGGCCAGCGCTGTGAAAGCAAATGCCAGGTAATAGTGTATTACACTCTCCTGCGTTTGTCTCTTCGAGTCGAATCACGGCTCTCCTTCACGAAATCATCCTGTCGAAGCTTTTTCTTGGAAGCAGGCTTGAACTGCCAATAGTTCATCCTCTGCCAGAAACTTCGCTGCAGCAGAATCCTTGGCATCTGCAGCATTTTGATGGCACACACAAGTTCAACGGTTTGCTCCTGCTACAGCCATGTGCTCTGGTGCAGACATGGCAACTGCCCAAAGGAACCATACAACGCTGCAGGCGCAACTCAACAATGTATATTTCGGCGCTTCCCAAAGAATGTCGCTACATGGACTGTGGCAGCGGCGCTCGGTATTGAAAACGACCCGAAGTTGCCAACTCAGAAAACAAACAAAAGCTTTGTAAACCCTAGCAATGCCTGTCGGGCTGCGGGTCTTTGTTTATGCTGCAGAGCGTCTCCACGAAGGAAAAGATCTTGCTCGAACCTTTGATGGTTCTTCGGGCCCTAAAGGCCTCAAGGCCCATTCCCAAACGGAAATCTAAACAGAACCCTAAACAGAACCCTAAGCGGAACCCTAAACGGAACCTTCAACGGAGACCCTCAGCGGAACCCTAAACGGAACCCCAAACGGAACCCTAAACCGAACCTTCAACGGAGCCTGCTCATCCTCTCAGCATGCTTCCCATCTGACTCCCCTCCACCCTGGCTCAAACCAATAACACCAAATTCAAAGGACATCCTTGTTCCCAGAGCACGTAACCTTGATATGCGAAATACTTAGCAAGAAGCAGGCTGCCACCATGCCTTGTAGCAGTCTGCATTTACCATACCCAAAAATGCAATTGATCCTGGTTTGTTGCTGCGGTTGCGCTTGCATGTGCCCATGCACTTGCAGCTTGAACACTGTCTTCGGTTCATGTGCTCACGCCAACGGTTTGGGCTTGCCCAGGCTTGGTATGTCCTTGTTGAATCGAACTAGAGCAGGCTAATTAGTGAAGAACATGCTGGTTCGAAGTGGTTCGAGATGTCTACCACTGCAGCGCAGGGTAGCTCATGAGATTGGGCGGGCCCCTGGCGTCATTCATAAGCTTTGAACATGCTTCAGTGTGTCAAATCTCGCCCAGCAAGTGTCTTCTCTCTGCACCCTGCACATTCCAACTCACCTTGCAACCTATCTCTCACTCTGAAACAGCACAAAGCGGGCATGCTTGCAAATTTTCGCGTGCTCAGCCATCTGCTGGTTTGCTGATGTGCCATTGGTTGCTGGCCTGCTGGCCGTCCACGTCACCTCAGGCGAATGGCTGGAGGCAAAGGGCTTCAAGGAGGCAAAGCCCTCAAGGAAGCAACCTACCCCGTAGAGCCAGGTCTACCCAAAGAAGCGAAATTTCCCTGATGCCCAGGCTCATGAGCACTGCAACGTTTTGCTGACACGAGGATGAGGACGAGAACGAGGACGAGGATGGCGGCGGCAGCGGCGGCGACGACAACGATTACGATTATGATGCTACTGATGAGGACAGCAACATCGATGCACATGATGATGACTGTGATGGCAGGCGTGATAGATGGTAGGTGTGCGGAGCAAATGGGGACATGCAGCAATAGACTATTCCAGTTGCAGACAGCAGCTGAAACGGATGAAAGTGCTGCTGATCATATGCACTGGAGACGAGGACGAGGATGTAGTAATAACAAGTTTGGAGGCGAGCTGGGTGGGAAGTAGACGAAAATAGGTGACGGTGTCATGGACATCTCCCTAATTCGCAGGCCTGGCGCGGCTGTGGCACGCTGCTCCGGCAGAAGCAACATCGTCGCCGACCTGTCAGCAAGTGCTGTGATGGCAAAAGCAGTCCTGCCCATGGCGCCCCGCTAATCGAGAAGGCCAGCTACAGTCTGTACAGGGCTTGGCAGCAATTAACTTGTTG